AGTCGGCTGATCAAAAATGGAGAACGTACGTTCAGCAAGTGTAAACGGTGTCGTCTGACCGTGACTTTGCGCACTTGGACGGAACATAAAGAGATAAAAATTCGGTGGCAGCGGTGTGAGTTACTGAGAATATCGGGAAAAAAACTGCAGAAAAACATAACAAGTGTTACGTCCCAGAGACCGGGTCACGGTCCTGCGGCCGTTTACACCTACCGGACGTACGTCCTTTTTTTTTGGTCAACCCTGAGAGTATACCGGTGCGGAAGATGAAGATATGACCGGGAACTGAGGTAGGGTCGTCTGTTCCGGATTAAATCGAAGGGCCGTCAATTATGTATACCGTAGGGTCCTAGAGCGTATAAAAATCGTCAGTGTGTTCCGCGATAAAATTGATGTAAACAAAGTGGCACTTCACGCACTTTTTTACCGGTCGATATATCGTTAAATTTTGCGAGCACCTGGCGCACAACACATTTGTGGACTGGGTCCCGATCGAGATACTGTGGCATATCACTGCCTCGGGTATCAGGACGTCGTCCGTTTTGTGGGTACACCACGTACAGTAGATATTGTTGTCTAACAAGTTAAGATAGGTTTGTGCCACCAGCCGGCATCGGCCAAAGTTGTACTTCTGCAAGAAATCAAACGCTTCCGTCAACTCGATATACTCGCCGGGTTTACTAATAGGTGGCAATCGTCCGATGCACATAGGTGGGCCTATGTGTGCTAAATGTACATGGCTGGTTACTGTTTTCCGCACGAGACCTTTGGTGACGGCGCCCGGTTAGACCGATGCTCGTGAATGAATTTCCGAGTTGGGTACAACACCTTGCGTCGCTTTTTCACGCACACCCAAAACCGTGGATCCGTCAAGAAAACCGTAGCCTGGTGAACAGTCCTACCGCGGGTAATCGGAATCAAACTCTATGTGGGTCGGGTGATCGTAATCCGCCCCGTAAACCTGTCATTACCAATAATTTGCGGGACTCGGGTAACGGCGCGTTCCACTGTATTTGTCGTGCGAGGGTTCGCGGCGCGTCCTTCCGTACTGGTCACATGGGCACGGGTAGTGTCAAGCACCGCGGAGTAGAAAAACTTAGTGCGCGCGTAGGTTTTTTGAAGGGCCCACAGGTGGTGCCCCCTGCCTCTACGTTGGGTCCGTCGCCTCCTTTGCGGAGCCGGGACCTCTGGCTGATGGAAGCTTAGGAATGGATGCAACAAAGTAGCGTGCAATCTTTATTGCACCGTTCTCACCGTAGTACCCAGGACCAGGTAGTCATAAGTGTGCACTCATGTGCACCTATTTCGTACTTTTAGAATGACAGGTAATGACGGATGTGCACTCGTGTGCACCTCCCTCGTTACCGGAATAACAGGAAATGACGAGTGTGCACTCGTGTGCACCTTCCTCGTACTTTTAGAATAACAGGAAATGACGAGTGTGCACTTGGGTGCCCCTTCTTTATTACCGGAGTAACAGGAAATGACGAGTGTGCACTCGTGTGAACCTTCATCGTTTTTTGAGATGAAGTGACGTAGGGTGAGCAGTGATAACCAACAGTAATCAAAATAATGCAAAATCAACTAAATGTACATCAGTGTGCGAGGTACAAAAGGAGAATTGTTATTATTATTATCATTATTATGTATTCTAACCATTAAACAGACCCGAAGTCAGATTCGATTTGTACACGCAAAGTTATCTTAAATGAGGACGCACAAATACCTTATTCTAGGTCTAAAATATTCTAAGTTCCAATAAAAACAAATTTTAAATATTCTAAGTCCCAACACAGAAAAAATTAAAATATTCTAAGTTTCAACTAGAAATAATTAAGGTATTCTAAGTTCTAACTGGAAATAAGTAAAATATTCTAAGTTTTCATTGGAAAGAAGTAAAATGTTTTACGTTCTAACTGGAAAAAATTAAAATATTCTAAGGTTTAACTAGAAATAATTAAAATATTTTAAATTCTAACTTAAAAAAAATTAAAATATTCTAAGATCTAACTGAAAAGAAGTATTCTGAACTGACTATTTTGCGGAACGAAGTGAACGGGTTAAATCTCGGAGACAGACTGTGTGTACGGACCAGTCGCTCCGGCCGTTTATATAGCGTCCCAAATACGTTTACGCTGCATGGTCCCACGAGTCCAGCGGTCACTGGCTCCTGGTCAACGGTCCCGCGGCCGCCAACGGTCCGCGGTCTTACGCGTGCCTTATCTTGGCGCGTGCTTTATCTTTATTTCGGGCCGTTTGCCTGGCCGAGCCAGTAACCCTGACCTCTCACAAGCAAACTTTGCCGTGGGAACACTTCGCGCACGAATACTACAGAATATTTTACAATGTTTTGCCTAAATTAACTAAATATTAATTGAAAGGTTAACTGTACATTTGAGACTACTGAACTAGTTTACAAAACGCTAAGAATGCTAATTGTTTAACTAGTATACAGGACAATAGATGCGGTTACAATAAGCAAAATAGTAATATTAAGTATTTAGGCAGAAGTAACGTAATTAAGTAAGTAGTTATAGAAACTATTATAATAATGTAGATTTAATTAATAAAGACTTAAGGTAATAATAATTAATTTATAATATAATTAATAATACTAATAGCAGTGACCATCACTGGGGAGTTGAAAAGTTCGCGAAAAGTCCCGGAATTTGTCAAGATAATTTTTGACAAAAATAAACATTTTGTTTATTAACACATGTGTTTACCGACACATAGTCGATATTGGAAAGTTAGGATATCTCGAGAACTAAGACAGCTAAGGCAAAACTAATTTTACAGAGGCCCATACGGCAATCAAAAGAAATAAACAATTTAAATATTTTGCAAACCGTAAAAGTTACCGAAAAACGGGATTTTAATCTTCCGTTTTATTACTTAGATGCAAAATATCACGTAATAAGTATTTAATAATTTTAAGTATTTAAACTATTGTTTGGTAACAACAATAATTAGACGTTTTGAAACACACTGGTATTTTGCAGTTTTTTACGTTGAAGACGATGGTGCAAACCGTTTTTTGTATCTCTTTTAGTTTCTGAATTACTAATTTTGCAACTTACGGGTTGCCGTCTGGTTCTGATTTGAGATTACTTAACTTATGACTAACAGTAACAGAAATATGATGATATCTCGTGCAGGTTGATGAATCATTCGCAAACTTGGTTTTTGGCAATTGTTAATTTACCGACCGTGGCAAATGTTTAATTATGCTAAAATGATGGTACTGGTAACAGTACCGACTCTAGTACTTGAAAGGAACGGTAGTTAGTAGTAGAATTGGTTACCGGCAGGAGTTATCTTTTACCTTTGTGTTATGGCTTACTATATTATACTGTACACGCATCTACCTTAAACTTCTAGTTTATGGTCAGCACGTAAGGTAGTGTTTTAAAGGAATTTTTCTCTTGACCAATCAAATCGTTTTTGTCGTTTTTGAACGGATTCCCGAAGAGATTTCAAGAAGAGACTTACAGGATGGTACTTGCAAGAATCCAGAAAATTAGAAAATGCAACACAATTATTGACCAATCAAAACGCGTTTTACTGAACTGGTTAACCTATGAAATTTCTTTTACTTTTTTCAATGGTTTAAAACATGAATTTCAAAAGCTGGCTTAGGCCTGGTTTATGCGGGCAATAACTGTTAACTTATTCCGAAACCGGTAGAGTTTAACTATAGGATTTCAATGCTTCTGTTTATACGCACCCGGCAATTTTGTATAAACAGAAGCATTAAAATTCTATAGTTAAACTTTACCAGTTCCGGCATAAGTTAACAGTTATTGCCCGCATAAACCAGGCCTTACTTGGCTTAGTTGCTACGTGCTTTGTCAATTAGTACGGCAAGTTTTGCACTTTAGCCAATCAAGTTGTTTGTCATTAGGCAATCAGCCAATCAGATGTTTTTACTGAATTTGACCGGCTTCTTAAACGAAAAATAAAATGTGTTACAACAGTAACTAAACATCTAAATAATTAATTCAAATATCATAAAAAACGATATTAAATTGCTGTTTAAAAATAAAATAATAAGTAATACTTTATAAACAAATTAAGATATTTAGTATGGTTTAAAACTAGTAATAAATTTCTACGGTGTTAAAAATCGATTGCTGGATGTGTTTTGCAAATATATATATAACATTTTTAAGGTAAATTGGTATATTATTAACTATAAAAAAATTATAGTAACATAAAAAATAAATAATAACTTCAGAATAAAATCTTTTTCAGTTTTTTATTAAAATGTTTTAAAAATATTACTAGCAGAATACAATCATAAAGACAAATATGATTTAAAAAAATTAATACAGAAGATTAATTTCAAAAAATTATAGTGACCACCATTGCTCGTCTTGAGAATGTAAAAATAACAATCCTGATAATATTTTCTTTATCAATTTATTTTGTTGTTGCGTCAAAATCAATCCAGCTTTTGACAAAAGCTGTCACGTCCGTAGACGGGAGCATGGTGAGCCCCGGTTGACCCGTTTAACCTGTTTCATTTTTTTTCTTTCTTTTTTTTATTATTATCTTATTTTATTACCATTTGTTGTGTGTCAGTAGTATCTCCCATTGTCAATTGTTTGCAAAGACGTTAAACTACGGTTCGAGCCACTGTGTCGTTACCTAAACTTAAGAATTTACTACTCCGAGTCGCAATTTTGTACCTACCTGTTCATGAAAAGCAATGCTTCTTTGAGATTAGAGCAGGTCAAGGTCTGTGAATAACAAGGCCGATTGTAAAGTTGAGAATAGATTGTATTTGATATGCGTACAGTTTTCTAACTCTTTAATTGACGCACTATTTTAAACTGTGCTACAATATCACTGATTTGATAGAGCTTTTCTTAGCATTTTCATAACACACAGAAAGGCAACAACGGATACCTGCAATGCGCGGTTTTTTTTGGGGCGCCTTCAGAGGGCGCAGTGGCCTCTTCGGCAGCAGCTCGCGCGCAATTTGAGTCGCTTAATCCTTAACATTTCCGCCCGCCATCAGCAAGGGATTGCTGATGAAGATTCTCCGTGACAATTGGTAGGAGCGCCAACTTAACAATAGGACGAGTGAGTGTAGTTGTGGCAGTTTTTAGCGTGACGACTCGTGTGAGTCCGTTCTTCCCTGGGTGTAATTCGAGCACTCTGGCAAGTGGCCACTTGCTGGGAGGCAATCTTTCGTCTGTGAGCAGGACTAATGAGCCAACTTTGATGATATTCGACGGGTGATGCCACTTTGAGATAGATTGTTGACGTTGTAAGTAATGAGCTGACCACTGGGACCAGAACTGTTGAAGTCGTTGTTGGATGAGCTGCCATCTTGTAAGTCGAGCTGTCGAGATATCAAGCAAAGAGGGTTCTGGGGTGGAATTCAACGCGGACCCGATAAGAAAGTGTCCAGGGGTGAGGGCGGACACATCTTCAGGGTCGTCGCTGAGAGGCTCCAGGAGTCTAGAGTGGAGCACTGCTTCTATTTGATTCAACAATGTTGTTAGCTCCTCAAAAGTTAATAGAGTTTCACCAACTGTTCTTCGCAAATGAAACTTGATCGATTTTACAACTGATTTCCACTTGCCACCCATGTGGGGTAATGCCGGGGAATTGAACTTCCACGTGGTCCCTTCCGTAGCGATGGTGGAGCTGGCCAGTTTATGTTCCGCTGAGTAATTAATGAACAATTTCTTGAGCTCTGCATCTGCTCCAACAAAGGTGGTACCACAGTCTGAGTAAAGCACATGAGCTAATCCTCGTCTAGATGCAAAACGTCGATATGCAGCGAGAAAACTTACAGCTGAATAATCAGTTACAACTTCGAGGTGAGTTGCGGATGTAGTGAGGCACACGAACACACAGATCCAGCCCTTATGTGTTTTTGAGCCTCGCCATTTCTACGTCTTGAGCTGCACAGGTCCGGCATAGTCTACACCTGTGTGTAGAAACGCACGTGCAGGTGTGACTCGCGCCAACGGGAGCTGAGCCATCAGTTGCTTCGCGCGGATCCCTCTCTGTCGTGCACATTTGACACAGTTGATTATGTGAGATTTCACTGGAGCTCTTCTGCCAATAATCCAGTAGGTTTGCCGAATTTTTGCCAGGGTGAGCTGCGTACCACCATGTAGAGTGGTGCGATGTGCGTCGTCGATGATAAGAGAGGTGAGCTGACAATGACGTGGCAGTATTGCTGGATGCCTATTTTGATAAGTGAGCGCTAATTCCTTAAGTCGGCTTCCCACTCTAATCACGCCATTTTCATCAAGAAATGCTGTTAGTCTGGAGAGCGCGTGAGCAGTGGGAAGTGACAAATGTTTGAGTGTCTTGAGCTCGTGAGCAAAGTATGTAGCTTGAGTCGATTTGATCCAGAAGAGCATTGCTTGGTTGAGTTCTTGAGCTGATATGCACGTAGAAGGAGGTGACATGAGATTGCGCTTGAGCAATTGTATGAATCTGAAACACAGCGCGGTGACTTTGAATAGCTTGTTTAATGAGGAGTACTTGTACACTAAATTCTAACTAGGTGCAGGTATTGGTATTTGCTGCTGCAAATAGAGCTGTACCAGTTCGAGCTTCAGTATGAGTAAGCTCCGGCGCGATGTCTGGTTGAGCTGGCCACGAGTCGGAAGACTGCTTAAGCCAGGGTGGTCCAGTTCACCACAATGGGTGATTCATCAAGTGGTCCGCCAAAATTCCCCTTGATCCGCAATCTGCTGGATTCATCGCGCCAGGAATGTGACACCAGGTGGAATTTGTTGACAGTTCTTGGATTTGAATCACCCTGTTTCTAACGTAATCCCTCCAACGCGATGCGGGTGATTTAATCCACATGAGTGCTACTTGCGAGTCGATCCACATGTGAGTCAATTTTACGTCGAGCTTTAGTGTGGCGTGAACATGAGCCATCAGCTTAGCAAGTAGTAGCGCCGCTGTGAGCTCTAATCTTGGAATTGTTAGCCGTTTAAGTGGGGCTACCTTTGTTTTTGAGCAAACAAACAAAGTCGCAGAGCCTGTTGACGGTGAGTGAATCACCAAATAAATGACTGCTGCCATGGCGAGCTGAGAAGCATCTGCGAATCCGTGGAGTTCTACCCTTGAGTCGCTCCATAAGTTAAACCACCTTGGAATTGATATGCTGGCTAGCAATTTGAGATCGTTCCTGATCAGAAGCCATTTCGCGCTGAGATGTTTTGGGAGTGAATTGTCCCAATTGAGTTCGTGGAGCCACAGCTCCTGCAAGAACATCTTTGCCCTGATCACAACCGGAGAGACAAAGCCGAGCGGATCGAATATCTTGGCTACTTCAGATAAAACTAGGCGTTTCGTGAGCTTGCCTGGACGGTCCGAAAACTTTGAGCAGAATACAAATCTATCCTCTTGAGAAATCCAATTTAATCCAAGTAGTTTGGTTGTGCAATCGTCTAATAATAAGGAGCTTGATGAGCTACTCGTTGAAACTGCCGTGAGCAAGTCCGATTGTGTTGCATGCCATTTGGAGAGCGGAAAACCGCCCGCGATGCACAAGTCTTTTACTTGTAGAGCTGTAAATATGAGCTGTTCGACTGTGTTTGCACCTCCGAAGATATCGTCCACATATCTACCATAAGTGAGCGATGGCACTGCAAGAGGAAACTGGTGACCTTCGTCGCTAACTAACTGAAGAAGGACTCGANTTGCTAGGAATGGAGCTGCCCTTGTGCCATACGTGACTGTGGTGAGGTGGAAGGGGACTTCATTGAGCTGATCGTCTACCCATAGAATCCGTTGAAGATCCCAATNGTCATGGTGAACTCGAACTTGTCTATACATTTTGACGATGTCTGTGGCAAAAATGTGGCGATGGTGACGAATCCACGTGAGTACATCCACGATATTGAGCAGCAGATTGGCTCCGGTATGCATGATGTCATTGACTGATTTTCCTGAAGATGTAGAGCTTGAGCCGTTGAATACAACCCTGAGTTTAGTTGATGAGCTGTCTGGCTTTAGTACTCCATGATGAGGCAAGTAATAAGGAGAATGTGCTGTCGAGCAGTCGGATGACCGTTCTCCCAGAGCCCTCAACCCTCCTGATGTCGAAACGTCACGTGCTAAGGTCACCTCAGGAGGTGAAGCATCCGCCAGGACTCGTCTCATATGCCCCAGTTGCTCGTACTCCGTCATGAATTTTAAGTAGAGCTGACCGTACTCAGAGTCTCTCTTGAGCCGTCGAATCGTTCGTTAAAGACATCTTGAGGCCGTCTGGTAGGAAAGTCCTAGAGTGGATGCTGATGTCTTGAGTGGAATTCGCACTATGTAACGTCCAAATGAATCTCTCGAGTGAGTTGCACAAAAATGTGCTTCACATTCTTTCTCTTCAGGTGTGAGCAATGGAGATTCGTCACGAGGCAATTCTTCTTGAACCCAGAACTTGGTGAGCAACTCCTTTACTTCATCCTCTCGTTGAACGGAGACATTGTGGGTGGGCACGGATGATGAGCGAACTGAATTGGTAGGTCCAAGGATCAACCACACGAAAATTGAAAATTGAGCAATGGGCATTGCTGAGTGACCCCTGATAATGTCAGGCTTGATTACCTGGCCATAGACATCGGCACCAAGAATAATGTCAACTGAGCGTGGCTGATAGTACTCTGGATCTGCAAGAAACAAGTTTTGTAAATGTGGCCAGTTTCTGACTGTTACCTCTGTCGATGGGATGATCAATGTAACCGCTCTTAAAATATGAGCATGAATCTCGATCTTGTCCTGTAAATGCAGAGATTCCAAGGTGAGCTTGACAGCGCCAAGTGTTTGAGTTGTTCTTGAACCTCCAATTCCATGTATTATAAGCGATGATGGGTGTCGAGAAATGTTGAGCTAGCGGACAAGCTGCTCAGAAACAAAAGTGATTTCTGAGCCTGAATCGATGAGCAAACGTACTAGGTGAGCAGTCATGTGAGTCTTGGCTTGTGCACGAGCCGTTCCTAAGAGTGTTGTATAATGATGAGTAGTATCATGCGATCCATCGACGATTGCACCAAACCGTCAACGCTTGTCAGATAGGCCTGATTGATGAGCTGTTGAACAAGAGAACTGAGCGTTATTTTTTGGTGATTGTGCGGTGGAGGAAGAGCTGAACGTGACAGCCGATAAACGGCTGCTGGTATCGTGTAACATTGTGTGATGTCGACCTGAGCAGGTGTTGCAACTTCGCGTGCTCTTGCACGCCTTAACCGCATGGCGGCCAAGGCAGTTGTAGCACAACCGTTTCTTTTCTACTAGGTCACGTCTATTCTGAGGGCTGAGGCCCTTGAAATGCTCACAAGCGACAATGTAATGCGATCCTGCGCACCCGTCGCATGGATGAGCCGTTGACCCTTGAGCAAAAGATGTCGTTTTCGAGAGAGCGGTTGCCGTTGACTGCATCGCCGCGGTATGAGCTGAAGCCTTCTTGGTTGGGGTTGAATGAGAAGGCTGAGCAGACTTTGTAGCAGATGACGATGGATGCACTGTTTCAATCCGTTCTAGTGCTCGAGCTCTAGAGGTTAAGAATTCCTCCAATTGAGAAAAGGTTGGGTAATCCTGAGAAGAACCAAGAGACGTCTCCCATGCCTCTCTAGTTGAGCGATCCAAGATCTTAGATGCTAGGTAAACGAGTAAGACGTCACCAAGATTCGAACGTGAAACGCCAAGCGTATCGAGTCTTTTGATGACATCGGCGTAAGTATTGATAAGCTTGTTCAGGCCAGTGGCACTCCGTTGAGTGAGTGGAGTTAACTCCATGAGCTGATCCAAATATGCTTGAACAGTTAACCTCTTGTTCTCATATCGAACAGTCAAAATTTTTAACGACTGCTCGAGCGAGCATCCCGTGAGCGGCAGAGTAGACACGAGCTGAGCAGGCTGGCCTTTCAAACATCCCCTCAGATAGTGTAATTTCTGAACGTTTGACAGTTGAGTGTTGTCTAAGATGAGACTCTGAAATAGCTCGATAAAGGTAGGCCATTGAGCGTACTCTCCCTTGAATTCNGGCAACGAGATGTCTGGCAACTTAGTGTCCACTCTGATGCTAGTTGAGCCATGATCGAGTGGAGCCGGTGTGAGCCGAGCCTTACAGCGAGCAATCTCTCTTTTAAGAGCAGTAAAGGTGCGTTGAGCCTGCAAGAACACATTACTCTTAAAATATGCATGATATGTCAAACCTCGAGGGCAAGTTGCTTCAAGGTAAGTGTGCTCCATGTTAAACACTTTATGGTGCTCATCACACTGAGCCTTGTATTCATTGAGGCTCTTCAAGTGTCAGCTCCTTTTGGCTGACCACCTCAAGTATTTCCTTGAGAATTTCAACTCTCGTCAGCTGAGACTGTGCCTTGAGCTGAACTTCAGTAGGGAGAAGCACAGGCAATGTATTTCTTGATGATTGAGCGGAACCACTCCTTGACGAAGTGCGGGATTTCCTTCCTTCGCCACTGGCATGAGCAGCCTGAGGGTCAAGCAGACCTGCTATATATTGTCCTTCATCGTCCGGTGGACTGATTTGAACCGGCTCTTTGAGCTTTTGCTTGTCAGGCATTTTGTATGTCACACGTAGGAGAGCTAATTGAGCAAAGCACGAACTATTAAGCAGTCACTTGAATCTACTGTGAGAGTGGTCACTAACAACTTTATCGTACAACACAGCACCGATTATTCACGAAGTCCGACTCAAAGGACCAAATGTTCATAAAAACCAATGCTTCTTTGAGGTTAGAGCAGGTCAAGGTCTGTGAATAACAAGGCCGATTATAAAGTTGAGAATAGATTGTATTTGATATGCGTACAGTTTTCCAACTCTTTTAAACTATTTTAAACTGTGCTACAATATCACTGATTTGATAGAGCTTTTCTTAGCAATTTCATAACACACAGAAAGGCAAAAACGGATACCTGCAATGCGCGGTTTTTTTTGGGGCGCCTTCAGAGGGCGCAGTGGCCTCTCCGGCAGCAGCGCGCGCGCAATTTGAGTCGCTTAATCCTTAACACTACCAGATTTGCAAGTGACGTTTTCACTGTTGTTTTGCATTCATTATGTTTATATAACTGCTTGTAACGTACACTACACGTTTTGTTAGCCTACGAGTAAAATTTAGCTGTTTTACCGTGTGACAAAATTTGATTGGTCGTCTTCCTAGTAACAAGCAATCTGATTGGTCAAGTTTTTGTAAGTCATTTTCCGTAATTCTTTTCCTGAAAATCGGCCGAGAAGTTGGTTAAAAACCCGTAAAGTCATCTGATTGGTTAAGACAGTTTTCTGTCAATTCTAAGTCTTTAGACTACTACAAGTCGTAACAACTGTTGCCTTCTTCAAAATTCGTTAAGGAAGTCGGTCAAAATCAGTAGAAATATTTGATTAGATGATTGCCTGGTGACAAACAACCTGATTAGCTGAAATGCAAAAACTTGCCGTACTAATTGACAAAGCACGTAGCAACTACGCCGAGTTAACCATCTCTTGAAATTCGTGTTTTTAACCGTTGAAAAAAGGAAAAGAAATCTCATTGGTTAACCAGTTCGCTAAAACGCGTTTGATTGGTCAACATATTTGTTGCAAATTCTGGATTTTCTGGACGCCTGCAAATAAGGTCCACTAACTCTTTCTCAAAAGTACGTTCAGGACCATGGTCAAAAGATCGAGAAACGATCTGATTGGTCAGTAGCTTTATCGCGTTTTTTAGCTCCTTAAACCCGTGTGAATACCACCCGGTAAGTCTCGGTCAAAAATCACTTCAAATCCCTGGTTAGAAATCAAAAAGTGTTCTGATTGGTCAAAAGAGTCTTTTTTAAAAACACCGCCTTTAGGCTTTGCGCTTCTTGACTGTAGCGTATAAACTTTGAATAAATGCGAGTACGATAAAATAAGCCGTAAAACACAAAGTTAAGACATAACTCATGCCGGTAACGGGTTTTACTAATAACTACCGTTCCTTTCAAGTACCAAAGGTGGTAATATTACCAGTACCATCAAGTTACCGTACTTAAACATTTGCCACGGTCAGTAAAGTAACAATTACCAAAACCTAAGTTTTCAAGTAATTTATCAACCCGCGTTAGTTATCATCATGTTTCTGTTATCGTTAGTCATAAGGTAAGTAACTCAGATCAGAACCAGGCTGCAACCCGTAAGTTGCACAATTAGTATTTCAGAAACTAAAAGAGATAAAAAAAAAACGGTTTGCACCATCGTTTTTAGCGTAAAAAACTGCACAATACCAGTGTGTTTCAAAACGTCTAACTATTGTTGTTAACAAAGGATTGTTTAAATAATTAAAATTATTAACTTTTTATTTTGTGGTAGTTTGCATCTTAGTAATAGAATGAAGGATCACAAAACCGTTTTTTGATAACTCTTCTGGTTCGCGAGATAATTAAATTGTGTATTTTCACTCATCGCCATAATTTACAAACCAGTAAATGAAGGGCCTCTGTAAAATTAGGTTTGCCCTAGCTGTCTTAGTTCTCGAGATGTCCTACATTTACAGTAGTGACTATGTGTCGTTAGACACAGTATGTGTTAATAAACAAAATGTTTATATACGTCAAAAATTATCTCGATAAATTCCGGGACTTTTCGGGAACTTTTCAACGCCCCGGTGGTGGCTACTGCTGTTAGTATGGTTATTTATGTTATGAGTTAATTATTATTACCGCGTGTTTTTATTAATAAATGTTACATTATTATAATTGTTTCTATAATTTACGTTTCTATAATTTTGCCATAATAATTAAATTCTGCTTTATTATTGTAACCGCGTATATATTTATTGTCCTGTCTAATAGGTAAACAATTAACATTATTACTGTTTTGTAAATTAGTTCAGTAGTCTTAACTGTACAATTAACCATTTAATAAATATTTAGGTAATTTAGGCACAACGTTGTAAAATATTCTGTACTATTCGTGCGCGAAGTGTTCCCAAGGCAAAGTTCGCTTGTAAAGGGCCAGTGTCACTGGCTTGGCTGGACAAACGGCCCGAAGTTGAGATAAGGCACGCGCCGAGATAAGGGACGCGTTAGACAGCGAACCGTTGGCGGCCGCGAGACCGTTGACCAGGAGCTAGTGACCGCTGGACCCGTGAAACCGTGCAGCGTCAGCGTATTTGGGACGCTATATAAACGACCGGAACGACTGGTCCGGACACAGAGTCTGTCTTTGAGATTCATCTTGTTCAGTTCGCTTCGCGAAAAAGTCAGTTCAGAATAATTCTTTTCAGTCGGGACTTAGAATATTATAATGTTTTTGTGTCGGGACTTTGAATATTTTAATTTTTTCGTGTTAGAACGTAGAATATTTTAATATTTTTGTGTCAGAACTTAGAATATTTTAATTTTTTCCGTGTCGAAACTTAGAATATTTGAATTTTTTCAAGTAAGAACTTAGAATATTTTAAGTACTTCCAGTTAAGACTTAGAATATTTGCAATTTTTTTGTGTCGTAACTTATATTATTTTAATTTTTTCGTGTCGGGACTTAGAATAGTTTAATGTTTGTTGGGGACTTAGAATTTTTTAGACCTAGAATAAGTAGTTTTTTGCGTCTACACTTAGGATAACCTTGCGTGCGCAGATCGAATCTGACTTTGAGTTTGTTTAATGGGAAGAGTACATATCAATAATAATAATAATAATAATTCCCTTTTTGTATCTCGCACACTTGTTATTTCCTGTAATATTTAGTTGAGTGTAATATTTAGTCGATTTACATTGTTCTGATTACTGTTAGTTACACCTGCTCACTTTGCGTCGTTTCCTGTTATTCCGTTGACGAGGAAGGTGCACACGAGTGCACACTTGTTATTTCCTGTCATTCTCAAGTACGAGAAAGGTGCACACGAGTGCACACTTGTCACTTCCTGTTATTCCGTTGACGAGAAAGGTGCACACAAATGCACACTCGTCACTTCCTGTTGTTCCGTTGACGAGGAAGGTGCACACGAGCGCACACTGGTTATTTTCTGTCATTCTCAAGTGCGAGAAAGGTGCACACGAGTGCACACTCGTTACTTCCTGTCGTTCCGTTGACGAGGAAGGTGCACACGAGTGCACACTTGTCATTTCCTGTCATTCCAAAATACGAGAACGGTGCACACGAGTGCGCACACGTCACTTCCTGTTATTCCGTTGACGAGGAAGGTGCACACGAGTGCACATTAGTCACTTCCTGTCGTTCCGTTGACGAGAAAAATGCACACGAGTGCACACTCGTTATTTCTTGTCATTCTCAAGTGCGAGGGAGATGCACACGAGTGCACACTCATCACTTCTTGTCGTTCCGTTGACGAGGAAGGTGCACACGAGTGCACACTCGTCATTTCCTGTCATTCCTAAGTATGAGGAAGGTGCACACGAGTGCACACTCGTCACGTCCTGATCTTGGGTACTACAGTGAGAACGGTGCAATAAAGATTGCACGCTTTCTCGTTGTATCTATTCCTAGGCTTCCCGTCAGCCAGAGGCCCCGTCTCCGCGACAAAGGCGGCGGACCCGACGTGGAGGCAGGGAACACCAACTGAGGGCCCTTCAAAGAGCCTACGCGCGCACCGAATCTTTTGACCTCGCGGTGCTTGACATTACCCGCGTGACTGATACGGAAGGACGCGCCGCATATTTTCACACGACAAGTACAGTGGAACGCGCCGTTACCCGGATCCCGCGAATTATTAGTAACGAGGGGTTCACGGGGCGGATTTCGATCATTTGACCCTCGTGAAGGTTGATCCCGATTACCCGCGGTAGAATTGCTTACCCGGCTACGGTCCTCCCGACGGATCCACGGTTCCAGGTGTACATGGAAAAACAACGCAAGGTGGTGTACCTCACTCACAGGCATCCTCTCACAAGCATCGGTTTAGCCGGGCTCCGTCAACAAAGGTCTCGTGCAGAAAACAGTAACCAGCGTCACACATGCAGCACACATAAGCCCACCTATGTGCATCGGACGGTCGGCACCGCCCGGTGAACCCGGCGAGTATATTGAGTTGACGGAGGCGTTCGATTTTTGGCAGAAGTACAACCTTGGTTGATGCCGGTTGGTGGTACTGGCTTATTTTAACCTGTTAGACAACAAGATCTACTGTACGTGGTGTACCCACGAGACAGACGACGTCCTGATACCCGAGGCCGTGATAAGCCACAATATCTCGATTGGAACCCAGCCCACGGATGTGTTGTGCGCCAGATGCTTGCAAAATTTACCGATATATTGAGCGGTAGAAGAGTGCAAGAAGTGCCACTTCGCCTACATTGA